GTAAGTACATGTATTTCACAGAAGGAAGTTCTTATGTAATCAAAATTACTTATGTTACTGTTGTATTTTTTATAGCGTTACTCGTATTTTTATAATGTAAAAGAATAATATTTTAACATAACATCATCCCGCCTTTTATCCCCGATGAGGTAGACAGAGGTAAACATATGGCACTTAATGCCACTGGTCAATGTAACACCCATTTTTCACTATTTTTGTTATGAGTCCCATGTAATAGAGGGTGAGCCTATTGCCACATACCGGGCACAATCCCAAACTCCGTGTTACTACTAAGATTTATTGTAAAACCCCGTAATACTTTGCCCACCCGGGAATCGAACCCGAGACCCCTTGCCCGGCCAGTCGCGCTTGCGACCACTCGGCCAACGAGGCAGTCTTATCAAGAATATTTATTTAATAAAGAATCACTTTCGAATGTTATTTAAACATAAAATGACCATATTGTTAAAAATTATTGTTAATTAACCACTGTTGAATCTATTACTACCATCAGCATGTCGTCAACTACTACGATAAGCCTTCCCCAATGATTTCCAGATTAGTTGAACATTTATTGGAATTGGCCTCAAAGTAGCTAAAAGATACAAGTACACCTAACTACATACTTTCAAATAATACACATGTCTGTTTTCATCATAAATCAAATTAAAAAAAAACACTAAGCTAAGGTAGGTGGCACTTAAAGATATTTTTGTTTTTACCAACCTAGTATACATAATGTAAAAGTAAGAGGCTAATTCAAGTTTTTCCTCATGTTATCTTATTATATATCTATACAAGATAATATCATCTTGATTAAGAGTTACTTAACCAACCATAATGGAAACCATGTGGTTTACGAGTGGTTGGTAAAAACCAGCCATTGGACAAGTTCGATGCTCTTTTGTTATTATATGCTATAATGACAAGTTATGGCACATTTAAATGGCTCATGCTATGCAGTCAACCATTTTGATTATTCCAAACCACGTCAAAAGATGCTAAAGCTTTATATACTGCATAATTTTACTTCGATCATAACTTCTCGAATAGTTATTATTTAAATCTACAGTGAATAGGGTTTACATCTATTTTCTGGTTATATTCATGATTTTGAAAAATATTTTACGCGCTTAGAATATATCAAGTAGACTTATTGCATTAAAAACATGATAATTGAGAAATGTAACGACACAATCGCAGTAGGTACAGGCCATATTGAAAACTGAGATAGGTACATTACATTTGATGGTTTTATACATAAACTAGAGGACCCAACAGACGTTGTCCTGCATATCCACTTCAATGTTTAAACAAAAATTCATTCAAATTAGTTCAGCTGTTTAAGATAAATAACCTAAACATCGACTGCATCGCCATCTGCCGGGCTGATTTCTGAATCTAAACCATTCGACAGAATGGAACTTGAACACACACAAAAATTTTCATCAAAATCGGTCCAGCCGTTTGAGAGAAGTTCAGTGACATACACACTCACAGAAGAATTATATTGTGGGTGATGTTAAATGACGACAAACCGTTGGTTTAAAGCGTTTATTATATCCCACAATCATAAGCTTTACAGCAAAGTATGGTACAGGCAGATAATAGAAGAAGTAGACACGAGTAAAGAAATAAGAACAGATACTAGAAGAAATTCGCGAACTAATAAAATATAATATGGGGTATTAGCGGATAGGCGGGAGCGAAATTGAGCGTGCATTCGCCGTCGTAGCTAGCTCGGCACTGCCGCCTGCGACCGAGCGATAGCGGGTCGCCGGCGCGCGCGACGTCGGGGATTGTGCGGGAGCAGGCGGCGAGGTAAGCAACCGATGCGCTTGATTAGAGTGCACCCCTTTATGCGACCAAAGTATGTGCATCTTTTGATCTCGGCGTTGCCACAGTACTCCCCCGCCGAGACCGCTACTGCGGGCGATAAAAATCTGGAAAATGAACACGTCGACCACTTCGAGTCCTCTTTTCTGTCTCCTGGCTGGCCTCAGAATCAGATTCTCTGGGATGTGACTCAGGTGGTGGTGATGAAGTACCATCTTCGCGGGCAAGGAATGCAGGTTTCAGTCTGTCAACACTAACTGTCACTTCCTTCCCGCACATATCAATCTTGTAGTACTTTGCGTGGCGTTCTAGTACCCTGAAAGGTCCAGCATACGGTGGCTCCAGCGGTCTTCGGACAAAATCCTGCCGCAAGAACACGTGAGATGAACTATTGAGATGTCGAGGTATGTAGAATGGACCCTTGCTGTGCCAGGAAGCAGGCTTTGGAGTCAGCTTACTCATGTGGCTTCGTAAGCGTGTCGCGAGATCAGTAACTTCAGCTGTGTCGTGATTGCTGGTAGGTGCAATGAACTGGCCTGGTATCCGGAGCGGTTCCCCGTAGACCAATTCTGCTGGTGACGCCTGGATGTCCGCCTTCCATGCACTTCTGATGCCTAAAAGTACTAGTGGAAGTACCTCTGTCCAATGCGTCGTGGAGTGACACATTATGGCTCCCTTGAGTTGTCGGTGTAGCCGCTCGACCATTCCATTTGCCGCAGGGTGGTATGCGGTCGTGCGGAAGTGTTGCGCACCAACCATTGATGCGATGGCTTTGAAGAGATGAGACTCGAACTGTCGCCCTCGGTCAGTTGTTATCTTCAAGGGACAACCGAACCTTGCGATCCAGCCAGACACGAGCGCTGTTGCACACGTGTCCGCAGTGATGTCCGCCATTGGGTACGCCTCAGGCCATCGCGTGAACCTGTCGATGACGGTGAGACAGTACCTGAAATCATGAGAAGTTGGTAAAGGTCCGACAATGTCGAGGTGGATGTGTGCGAACCTGGATGAAGGAGATAGGAAGGGAGAGGTAGGGGCAGATGTGTGTCGTGTTATCTTACTGCCTTGGCATTTTAGGCATTCTCGAGACCACTCCCTACAGTTTTTTCGAATCCCTGGCCACACGTACCTCTGTGAGACCAGTCGCACTGTAGTTGTTCTTCCAGGATGACTCAAGTTGTGCAGGGTGTCAAAAGCTTGTCTACGGAATTCTTGCGTGAGGTATGGACGAGGTGTCTCACTTGACACGTCACAGAATATTTTTGTTGACGTCCCTGGTATGACGACTTTTTGTAACTTGAGTGACGATCCATTTGTTAATAACTGTTGCAGTTGCTCGTCAGTGCTCTGTGATTGTGCAAGGGCTTGATAGTCGATACCTTGTGTGACCTCTTCGATTCTAGACAACGTATCCGCCACTACGTTCTGGCTTCCAGGAATGTACCTCACGTCAGTTGTGAACTGTGACACAAACTCCAAGTGTCTGAATTGCCTGGGCGAGCAATTCTCGCTAGTCTTGACGAAGGCATGTGTGAGAGGTTTATGATCAGTTATGATGTAAAAATCTCGAGCCTCAACCATATGGCGGAAATATTTAACTGCTTCATACATAGCTAAGAGTTCTCTGTCAAATGGGCTGTGTTTCTTCTCTGACGCAGCTAGTTTCTTAGAGAAAAATCCAAGAGGTTGCCAGTCGCCATTCTTATTTTTCTGCTGCAGAACAGCGCCAACAGCGACATTTGAAGCGTCTGTTGCAATGCTTAACTCGGCTGTTGGGTCAGGATGTGCTAATAACGTTGAGTTTGACAATGATTCCTTGCAATCTTCAAATGCCTGCAGTAGCTCCTGTGTCATCTGGACTGGTTGTGAGCCTTTGACATTTGTACCCACTAGCAGAGAATTAAGTAGTGCTTGTCGCTTTGCTGCGGCTGGTACAAAACGACGATAAAAATTCAACATTCCTAGAAACCTTCTCAGCTCCCTCACCGTTTTCGGCACAGGGTAATCTAAGATAGTTTTCACTTTACTTTCCATGGGCCGGGTACCAGCTGCTGAGACATTGTAACCCAGAAAACTCAATTCAGGTTTTCCCAGAACACATTTGGACGTGTTGATCAGAACACCATACTCAGCTAGCCGCGATAAGACTTGACGTAGATGGTCCTTATGAGCTTCTTCTGAAGGAGAGAAGACCAAGATGTCATCGCAGTATCCGTATGTGAAGTCTCCCAGGCCATGCAGTACTTCATCTATGAATCGCTGGAATGTCTGGGCCGCATTCCTAAGGCCAAAAGTCATGAATTCAAATTCAAAAAGTCCGAAGGGTGTTGTGATGGCAGTCTTCTTGACATCTTCTGGGTTAACTGGAATTTGATTATAAGCTTTCACCAAATCAATTGTTGAAAATATTGTGCAGCCTGATAATTGGTGGGAGAAGTCCTGAATATGCCTCACTGGGTACCTGTCCGGTATTGTGCGCGCGTTAAGAGCCCTATAATCACCACAGGGTCTCCAGCCGTCATCCTTCTTCTTGACCATGTGTAGAGGTGAAGACCAACAGCTTTCTGAACGTTTAGCAGTACCATTTGCTAACATATCATCAAATTCTTTTTTAGCAGCTTTTAAACGAATAGGATCCAAACGTCTTGGTCTACAGGCAACAGGAGGGCCTGGTGTGGTGTTTATATAGTGAATAGTATTGTGCTTTACTGTACGTACCAGCCCAGTGGGGCGTGTGACTTCAGGATACTCGCGCAGTATATTATGATACTCAGATTCGCCAGTGACTGTCTTGATGGAGATTATGCTCTCTGGTATTATTTGTCGGGGCACGGACACAGAGAGAGATGTCTTCCCGTCCACGAGACGCTGGTTTCTACAATCGATAAGAATATTATAATAACTCAGAAAATCAATTCCTATGATTGGTTTAGACACGTCAGCTATTATGAACCGCCACACAAAATCTCGTCTCAGACCTAGGTCTAAATGCAGTAATATTGGTCCATATGTATGTATAATTGTGCCATTAGCTGCAGAGAGGGTATATTTACCTTTGCTACTGGGTGCCTTTATTGCTGAGCGCGGGTATACGCACAAATCTGATCCGGTGTCTATGAGGAACTGCATCTTAGAGGTACGATCTGTCACAAAGAGACGGCCCGTTTGAGCTGGGCAGTCGCTGGCCGCTACTTCCGGCTGCCCCCGTCGTTTCCCGCTCTAAACTCACATGGCTCTGTACACTTCTTGGCTCTCGCACCAAAGTTATAATGATACCAGCAATGAGGATGGTCAGGCGGTGGCTGACGATTGCGCGAGTGACTACGCTTGCGATTATGGTTTTCCTGCGACCTAGATCTGGAATGCGCCCTTGACTGCCTGTGGACATAAGAGGTTAGTTTAGCGACTTCCCTAGTTAAAGCACATATTTCCTGCTGCAAGCTGTCAATGTTTGAAATTGATGCTGGTTGCAAGGAAGTTGAAGCCATAGCTACTTGTTGATGCGGCATTGCTGGAGCTATTTCGTGCACGCGGTCTGCTAACTCGGCTAGATCGTCTAATGATAGCTTAGGCTGCGACGCAACGACAGTTTGCAAATTATGTGGCAAGCGTCCGGTCCATAAGGTCATTAAAACGTCATCCGAAACTGTTGGACCGGCTAGGTTCCTTAAATGTCTTAAGAAATGTGATGGCTTACGGTCACCAATATCCTCGTTCAGGAACAGCTGCTGTAGCTTCTTCTCTTTCGACGCACTAAGCCGCTTAACAAGCTCGTTTTTGAGTTTTTCGAATTTGCCGGTCGCAGGAGGTGCCCTTAGTACATCTTTAACGTGCGAAACGTACGTAGGTTCTAGCTGTGTAACGGCATAATAAAATTTCGTCGTGTCACTGGTTATATTTGACAATACAAACTGCGCTTCTATCTGATTAAACCACAATTCCGGATCTTCTGGATAAAATGGCGGTATTCTCACTCCAACACGCCAAATATCGCGTTGCTCTCCATCAGCCGCGTTTCCTTTACCACCGGCACCGTCCTCCATTGCTTTCTTGAGTCTTAAGTTCTTTGTTCGGAGTCACCACTTGTGGGTGATGTTAAATGACGACAAACCGTTGGTTTAAAGCGTTTATTATATCCCACAATCATAAGCTTTACAGCAAAGTATGGTACAGGCAGATAATAGAAGAAGTAGACACGAGTAAAGAAATAAGAACAGATACTAGAAGAAATTCGCGAACTAATAAAATATAATATGGGGTATTAGCGGATAGGCGGGAGCGAAATTGAGCGTGCATTCGCCGTCGTAGCTAGCTCGGCACTGCCGCCTGCGACCGAGCGATAGCGGGTCGCCGGCGCGCGCGACGTCGGGGATTGTGCGGGAGCAGGCGGCGAGGTAAGCAACCGATGCGCTTGATTAGAGTGCACCCCTTTATGCGACCAAAGTATGTGCATCTTTTGATCTCGGCGTTGCCACAATATATATAAAGATGGGGTTTTATACATACAATATTACCTAAGCAAAAGGAATCAAAATGAGTATCAGAAAAGATGCGAGAAATTTTACCAAATGTACTACTAGTCACGCTTGGCCTACTCTAGGCGTACAATCTGTATTGTCATCTCGCCATCTCACATGGCAATTCTGGCAACCAAATATAGACACGTTTTAAGTAAAAAAACTTGTTTTGTTTGATAAATCTTCGAGTCCAAAGTCGTTGTAATAAAATGTTGTAGTATGAATCAGTTACTATCTGTATGTTAGTCTCAGTAATAACATAAAATATAAAGAATAACTAAGCTGCATGCATGCATACAGAATAAATAATGCTCAATCGACAGGTATTGAATATCACAGAGTATCTTAGTTCATTTTACACTAGCATAAATAAAGCAAACAATCCCGGCGCGGCTTCGTGCAATCCTAAATCGTAAATCAGAACTATTGTTGGGCAATAAATGCGAGGAATCGAACACAAGGGATATTTGATTAAGGTTTATCTTGGTTAATTTACGGTTATTGAGGAGGCTCGTTGTACTCGAATGTGTATCTGTCTGAACCTACAAAGATGAATCCCGAACGCTCGTTACTCTTATATGGCTTTCTAGTTTTCGGTCGACTGTATTGTGACATTCGAATTATGGTATTCAACTTTGACAGATGTTAAACAAGAATAACATTTTCTGATAAACCATAGCTTTCTACTGAAAGTACCACAGCGAAGGTCGACTATTGTCATATAGGTCGAATTAAAAACAATTGATTATACTCTACTCACAATCACAGCTGAAATTACGAAAAACCTAATGAGACAAACCAAATAAAATGTGGCCGCAGAAACATTTTTACTATATTTCTAAATGAATTACGTTCTGTCCCAATTCATAAAACCTTGTACTCGGATAAACGTTTTGTGTATATCTGAAGCAATAAGAAATAATTGTAATCAACATAAAATGTATTCTTAGATTGAATAAATAATCTCTTGATTTTTGCTTCTTGTACCTATACATAATTTTGCTCAGAATTATACGTTCCCTTGATCAGAATGTCTTTTGATAAAACATTCGAATATTGTAGATGGTTTTTGACCTATGAAAGAGAAATAAATAAATCTAATCTATCGCCTAAGCAAGGTTTGGTGTTCATAATAGACCGGTACCACAGGCTAAATAAATTTCACTGAAAAATAAACTACATAAGGTTCTTCCGTGGGTGTTGCTTTGTTACTTGGGTTGAATATAAAAAGAGGTTTAATTGCTTCCTTTTACTATATTATAATTATGAATATGGTGACTATAGACATAATCATTTCCCACCGTCTTATCCTCAACCCCCAAATCCCTTAAAAGCGCCAACACATGTATAAGTCCTTTGGTGCTTCGGGTGTCTGTGGGCGGCATCGATTGCTTACCATCGTGTCATCATCAGATGAGCTGTTAGCTCGTTGACAGCTCTCTTTGCATGTAAACGAAGGAAAATAACACGAAGGAAAGAGAAAAATGGTTCGTTATGTAGAAGGATCTCCTTCAGGTACCGGTTTTACTAATAATAATAATATGATATTTTAGACCATTTTAATTAATAATATGTCCGTATACTGCTAAATGGTTGTAGCCATGAGCGTTATATTTATGCGAAAATTAACAAATATTTTCCAGGAATCAAAACTAAAACAACGAAGCGATTTACTCAACTTAGTTCGTCTGATGTTTGTAATAATTAATAACAGGTACTACTTACATAATTAAACGCCATTGTAGGTAACATTATGCTACTACATATTTTATGCTTATTAATTGATATGATATGAAGACATGCCTAATGTAATTACAATCAATTATTGCAATTTATACTTTAATTTCCTCAAAGAAACGTAGCTTGAAGTCTATGTAGACTTAACATAATAATATGTATGTTCATGTCTAACACGTATGTTAAGAGTTCCATAGATTACCAGATTATGAGCATCATAATTATAAGTCAGCAGTTGGACTATGGGCCTTCACTTATAAAAGAGATTTTTGCTATGACCTCCACATTTGTTTTTAATGGGATAACCCGGTAAATGAGCAGACGGATCACCAGATTGTAAGCAATCGGCATCGCCTATGGACACCCGGAACACCAGAGGCGTTACAAATGCGTCACCGGCCGAGGATTGTTGGGGATTCAGGGATTGGGCAGATTAGGAAAGGAGAAAAAGGTAATTGGGCCTCCGGTAGCTTATCTCACACGACGAAATACAATGCAAGCAAGTTGTTTCTCGCCGGTTTTTTGTGAGGCCGTGGTATCACTCCATTTGAGCCAGCCCATTCGTGTCGAAGCATGGCTCTCCCACACTTAAACGCTTGTCCAGCGGGTTCGAGCCTGTCACTTAAAAAAATCAATGTTATCAAACAGATTCTTGTAAACACATAAATATATTTATGTACTATACTGTTACCGCAAGGCCATAACATTAAAAGAAAAACCCTTAAATAACTTATACTTACTTTATCCTAACTTTATTCTAATCGCAATCATCTAATAATTCAATTATTCTGCAGTTTTGCTTCAATGCGATCATACAACCGTTGAGGTAATCTAGTTAAGTATTTACGTTGTATTAATAGGTTAAATGCAATCAAACGGCCACAAATTGAACCTTCGGGATAGATACTGCCGAGCGTCATTCAATATGTATGTACATAGATGGTTACGTGGTTAAACCAAGAGAGGCAATACCTATATAGTTATATTTAACTCCTATCAGTCAGTTTTAATGTCCTTTTAATGAAACGATAATATACGCAAAAACACAAAAGCAATAACGTAAAAAGTTTATTTTAAATGTATTCGATTGTTTAGTCATCACATTATGAAAATAAATAATATTAATTAATAATTCTACAGACAGGGTATAAAAGTATCTAAAACTATAATTACACGAATTGTTACTGTCATGTCTGTCTCGTTTAGACTGTTTAATATTTCATTCTATTAGTAAACAATTTAATGTTTGCGTAATTTTCAAGATAAATGTAAAGTAAATGAAAAAATAAACATTGTAAGATATAAATATTAATAAGAATTATGTTATCTACAGTTAGTTAATAACTAATGACTTATCTTTACAATATGAGTAATAGAGGATTAAATACATATAAGTAAGTTTCTAGCAACATCGCGTCGACTTCACTTAGGTGCGTTTTTCTAATGTTTCATTCAGGTGTATTAATTTTCTCAAAGGAGTTTTGCTGGAAAAACGTTTAAATATTGTTAAGTTGAAACACGCAGTTTTAGAAAGAGAACGTGGTATGTATCTGGCCTTGTCATTTTGGGTCTGACGTCACTGATATGTCATTTGTTTTTTGGTGGTATTGTTCAAGAGGCGGCAATAATTCGGATTTAGAAAAAGAACACGATATATTTCTGGCCTTGTCGTTTTGGGTCTGACGTCACTGATATGTCATTTGTTTTTTGGTGGTATTATTCTAGAGGCGGCATTAATTTATTGGATTTAGAAAAAGCACGCGACATATTTCTGGTCTTGTCATTTTGAGCATGACGTGATTGTCGTGTCATTTGTTTTTATTTTACACTAGCTGACCCGGGGAATACCATGCCCTAATAGTCTAAGATCCGGCTGCAGAATCAGTGTACCAATCGAGTGTTTGCTGAAAACCAAATTTTTACACATATTCATGATTAGGAGAATTTATATCCACCAGGTTGCCTATCAAAATGTGGCCGCTAGTATTTTTAATTAAATTATTAATAATTCATAATCCGTAAGAAATTTCATTGACTTTTTTTTTCAATGAAATGTCGTCTACTTTACGGCAACATCTATAAAGACTCTGAAAAATTATGGTTGCCGTTGCGCACCTGGCCGCACTTCTTCGCAGCCAGGTATACACAGGTATGAATTTGTTACATTTATACACCCACAACGTACATTTATAATTTATATATCAAATTAAAGCAATTTTTTTTCTGTATTTTATTATATACGGTTGCTTAATTAAATCTGGCCGCCAATAAGGGTTGCTGGCTAATAAATATAGTAAATATTAAAAGTAGAGTGAAAGAGAGCTAGCGCGTAACACCACTAGTCACTAGGTACGACTCAAAATAATAAATACTATAACGTTCCATCTAATTGTTATTAAAGTTCAAATACTTGTTCCATGTCTCATTATGTAATGGCAATGGCCTTCCCCTAACTTTCAAGAATATTAAATGATAGTGCCATGATACATTTTAGTCCCGAATATTCAAAGTCAAAGTCAAAATCCACCAGACCAGAAAGGCACTTTTGAACGTCAACAAGAACGAGCAAGAAACTACATAGGTTACTCTTTTTCAGTCAGGTTCACAAATACTGGTACATAGTGTTGTGTGTTCAGTTGTATGAGGACAATGTAACAATGTATATTAGCGGGACTAAAGATCAGTAATTGATTTTTATAAAAAGTCATACAAACCAACATTAATAAGAGTATTAATAGTTCGAAATTACACTACTGGCGTTAAAATCGTACGAATAATAAGAGATCATTATCTCTACTAACCAAATGGCGTATACCTACATGAGCATGGAAATGTTTTACAATCATGACACCACGAGCAAATTGAAACACAATTCGGCTAACTACTCTCCACGGTCCATTCTGAGAACAACAAATGTATGGAATACATTTCCCACGTACTCGGGGCTTGCATAAATAAACCATGGGATACAATACTGCTGACAAGTGTGAGTAAGCAATATGCGTGTTGATACGTTTCCGATGTATTCGTCTGTCTCGAGTGGAGTTTGCGTTCACAACGTCGAAATGAATGCAGTTATTACAGCTTACGCGTGTTTTAAAAATAATCTGCATTTTCAACTTTATTATTGAGATGAAACAGTTTGTTTTTGTTTATCTTGCTGCACATAATTTGGTCGGCTGTCTCATATTTCTACTGTCTTTATTGGTGCGCACAA